TATTTTTATATATACAGTATTTTGGCTTACTGTCAAGTTTCCCCGAAGATAGCCAACGTTTAATAACTTTCCCAATAACTCCTTCATTTTCGTAAACATGAGCAGTATCTATATGTCTGTAACCAGCTTCAAGGGCAGCTTCCATACCTTTTTCGAGTTCTTCGTCGTTGGCCTAACAAAAATTTGGATTTTTTTATTCTTGACGGTAAAAGATTATTTGAAATCCATTCAATATCCTTACAATAACTTGTTTTTCAAAACTAATTTATTTGCACCAAACAGATTTGTAGTGTCAAAGGGGGAGAAGGGGAAAAATTAAAGTGAAAATATTGAAAATTCACATTATCCATATATGTATCTCTAATATCTACTATCATTATTTGTGTATGTTATTAAGATACAAACTACCTTTAAAAAATTTTGATTGTCTGTTCAAGCTTATCTTCGAAATGCCTGATCCGATTTCGATAAGACTTTAGAGACAAAAATTGTCATGAGTGGTCTAAGCCACTTTTTGCTTTTTATTTTTACTAATCGATCAAGTTTCCAACTACATTTGCTTATTGTTTCTATTACGTTGTCTATACCTGATAGCAAGTTTGTTTCTATGTTCCCCAGACTGCAACATAATTTAGAAAAAAAACTTCCTAGTCGATGAAGGGATTTAAACTCCCTAACCTCTCCCCCACCCCCATAGCTACACCGCTACAGATTTTTGAAGTGATGCGGTGCGAAATAGAAGTCTTTTAATACTACCTACATTAATGATTACAATACATATATTTACACATATAGATTTAATAATCTGAAAGGAAAAGCATAAGTTTGTAAAACAGTGACAAAATTAATTCGTTCAAATAAAAATAAACAAAACGGCAACGGTTATTGTCCTCCAAACCAACATGATGACACTGTAGACTTCCTTTAGTAGAGAATTAAGTTCAAGACTAAATAACGGGAAAAACAACAGTATGTACTTAAATAAAATCGTATGTGTATATGGATAAAATTCCGAAATTAAAGCAACAACAAACCATTAATTCTTCATAATTTCAATGCATTCACTATGATGCTTAATTTATGTTAATTTAGAATAATTCAACAATTAATTAATTTATTTATATCAAAAGAAATTAATAGCAACTAATTTAACTACTTTTTTTTATATTCGTATAATCATTTTGTAAATTTATGTTCATTACTTCATCACTTTATAATACTAATAAATACTAAACAACAATTAGATCTCAAGGTTGATAAAAAAAAATAATTAACGTACTTGCCATGTACCGTACCCTAAAGCAGGCATTTTTAGTCCACTACGTAGACTCAAATATATATTTTTTGCCATCTTATGGGGTTTAATAAATTCACTAAAAAAATGAATTTTACTTAAAAAATAAATTAAACGAAACAGTACTATTACACTTAATTACGTGTGGTGTGTAGACACACCGATATTCACAACGGAACTGAAGAATATGAACAAGTTTTCTGATTTCAGCTTCAGTCTAGCGGTAAAAGTAAAAATGCTTTTGTTATTTATACTTTTATGTAAAAATTACAAATCGGTGCAAGGTTTTTAGATAACAGTGCATAGAGGATGATGACTTTTATTCGTCTCGTTTTTATCTTTGAATGTTATCAAGAGTATCGAACTATACAGGGTGTCCTACACATTATAAAATTAAAAGTGCATAGGTTATCAAGAGTATTTCGTGACCTTTAAGTTAAGTGAGTAAACGTTTGCTTCCGATTTTTATTGGATATGTACATATAATTTTCAAGTAAAATATTTTCAACTTTCGGACACTTCCGCATATACCGGAAATGAACAACTAGATGCTCGATTACTAGATATATGCAAACTGGCTATTTAAAAGTATTTAAATACATATGCAAATATTTTTTTGATTTGTTATTTCAAATGTAACATACAAAATAGATTTTCCTTTTGTATTTTAAGTGCTAAATGTAAAATGCGTAGTTTCAAAAGATTTTTTTGTAGCACCTATTTAATTTTCTACATTTAAGTATAAAATATTTTTTGAGAAAACCTTGCAGG